CCCAGCCAGCATGGGGGTTGAAGTCCACTCATCTTAAAGTGGCCAAGTTTGGACAACACTGGCTTAGAGCTACTGGATCTTGGAATTACATTCTGGGTGCTGCACAGCCAGGAAAACTCTCAATTTGGTTTCATTAAAGTTAAATGTAATGTAGCTATATTAAACGAATTAAACTAATTAAATGCACTATACTTATTTATTATGCTGTTAGCCATTTCATTATATCCTCATGTATTTAATAATTACCCCTTTTTTGCAGGGGGGAAACAAAATTACAGTTTGGTAGCAGAAGCTGCAGCCAAGGTTTTGGGGGCTACACACAGCCCAAGAGATACAGGTTGGACACCTTACCCTTTAATTAATCCATTTTGTTGCTGTGGCCTCCTCAAAGGATACTTGGGAATCAGGACTGATGGGAACTAGTTTTGGGGGAAGATTTTCTTTCAGAGATTTCTCCAAGTTTTCTTCATATTACTTCTAATAAAACTACCCAAATTATGTATTTGCATAGTGAGTAATATAATAGTATTTTTTTTAAAAAAAAGGATCTGAAGGGGACAGGAAATTGTAGATTTGTCTCTTAATGAGTAAACTGGTGGAAAGCTTTATTAAAGATAAAATGACTGCGGACCAAAAAAAAAAAAAATAGATCAACTATAGGCAGGCATGAAGAATAAGTCTTGCTGAAGAAATATGGCTTCTTCCCTAAACCTTTGAGTTGAGAATGCTAATAAACATATGGACAGAGTTATCAGGCAGCATTTATGAGTGGTTTTCAGAAGCTTTTGAAAAACACCCTTAGCAAAATTTCTGAGTATATTTAACAGTCACGGGAGAAGAGAAGCCTAGGAGCAAGTCCAGACTTCATATACTGTAATGCACTGAAGTAAATGACCAGGGATTGTACTGAATAGCTCCATAAAAATAGAAGCTCAGAGTGCAGTAACTGTTCAGAAGACATTGTTTGTTTCACACAATGCTTGAACTATGGAGTTTGCTAGTGCCAGATACACTACCAAAAGGGCATTAGACTAATTTGTGGAAAATACAAATGATCAATAGTTATGTCAAGATGGATATGCATAGTATCAGCAGTAGGGTATCAGGTTCTAGGAAGCATAAGGAGAAATTGCTATTATATTCCTGCCTTAAGTGTCCCAAAAACAACTTATTGGCCACCGCAGGAACAGAATGTCGGACCAGAGGTACCTTTCTTCAGATCCAGGATAAATTCTGGATACAAGTCATGTTGGTTAGCTCACAAGTTGAACTAAACTTTGAAGGCATTTTTTCAGATGTAGCCACTCTCTGAACTGAACTGTAATGGCAACGGGTTGATGCACATGTTCTACAAGGAGATTTCTCTGGCAAAAATAATTTTATTTATTCAGGTAATGAATAAATTATCTGACTAATGATAATGAATAAATAACATTATTAGGTTATTTTTATCTGGTTGCATTAAATCAATGTTAACATTGCTGAATTTTTATTATTATTGATTGTATTGGCTTTATATTGTTAGGCAAAATAGAGTGGATAGATAGATGGATAGATAAGTTTATGACTAGCTTGAAACAAGATATAACAAGATCCAGCCATTAAGCAGTATGTTTCTTTACTGTGTATGTTTTGGTGTTGCTTTGTTTGTAAAGCTACCTATGTTGTTTCTGCTAGATAAAAATCTGTTAATAAAGTTCTTGAGAGGAACAAGAATAATTGTTAGATGAACATATTGTATTGTGATGGCAGTATAACCTGTATAGGTCTTTTGCTAGGGCAACTCAGAATGCCCAACTTTGGAAGCTATATAAAATCTTGGGAAAAGACTATAAAATCGTAGGGGAAGGGCCATTGGAAGGGGCCATTAGGCCAACTCCATGTTCAATGCAGGAATCCATATTAAAGCATTTCAGACCTAGATAGATGGCCATGTAGCCTTTGCTTGAACATATCCAATAAAGGATGCCCACCACCTCATAGGGCATTGGTTCTTTTGATGAATTTAGGTTTTCCTAATATTCAGTTGAAATCTGCCTACCTTAAATCCATGCTGTATGTTCTGCCCAAGTGACAGTTAGGCCAGACTAAAGTAATTCAGAGAAATATCCAATTTGCCTTCATTCAGTTTCACCTGTTCCGGTTTCTCCCCTCTCTATTCTCTTCCTTTGCAAAGTTTTAATGCTGACATTTCCTGAAAACCAACATCAAAGCAAACTTGAGTCTGTGGTGTGTGCACACAAAACACAGGCACACAGCCCTTACAAGTTTCCTAGTAGCTGCTTTCTAAGAACCAGAACCACATGCTCAAGGGAATGTCTGCATTGCAGCAGAAGCTAAAGCAATTCACCTGGATGCTAAAGAGAGGGGAAAAGGCATAGGAGACATGGACATCCCCACCCCTGATCCACTGAAGATACTCTAAAAAAGATGAACACTTACATTCGGGCCTCAAAAGATGAATGGTGGTAGATGCTGGCAGCTTTGTTTGATTTGCTTGGAGCTGTGCTAGCAATTCCTGGTAGTGCAATTGTGCCCTCTGGATCTCCTCTTGGTTCATGGTGCCCAGGATGGTTGGAGGCCTCTCCAAGCCCAACCTCATCAGGATGCCCTGCTTAACAGCCTCTAGCTGGAGCTGGATGTCATGTCCCCTGTGTGGCCTTGGGTCCACCCTGGAAATGAAGAGCAGAAGCAGTGTTCCCAGACTGGGGATAAGACTCCTGAAATAGCATGAGAAGGCTGGCATTGTGCCAACTGTGATGCCCAGATCTTGCCCCAATTCCATTGAAAAAGTAAGGCGCCTTTGATTTTGCTACTGCCTGCGCTACCAATGAATGAACTTGAACTTGACCAGAACTCTCTTTATACTCAAGATGAACTTCGACTGACTCACACCAGCACTCTCACACTGCTGCCTTGCGTCAATGAGGAAAGCAGTAAACATTACTGCCAAGAGGAATCCAGGCGGTTCCCTTAGAGGGTGGGGGGGAGGCAAAAATTCTCCTCCAGGGAGAATTTGACAGTGGCAGACCCTGGGGAATTTACAGTGTGGGTTTCCCCCCTCGCCGCCTTTTTTGTGGTCATGGAGACAAACACATACAACTGCTCAGGATGTTTTCAGGTAACTGTTTTTTTTCAAAGAGCAAAGCCCAGCTGCACCACCGTCCAACCTCTTGGGTGAATCTGAAAGTGTCCATACCATGTTCACACAAGCAAGAGTCCTCACTTTGGGGTTGTGTGCCAGCAACACAGTGACCCAGGCAGCCATTTATTGGAGAGTATGCACCTCAGTGCACCCCTGTGAAAAATCACAGTCACCTCACTCTTGATGTCCACCCAGGACGGGAGAGGAAGTAAAATGAAAGTAGAGATGGAAATATGGATTTCCTAGAATAATCCCATTTTTTGTGAAGCCATTGTAGAACTTTATTTCTGTGCCAGTAGCTGGACAAGGGTTAACCATCTGGCCCCCCAGTTTTGACAGGGGTGGGGGTTGTTATTTGCGCAGTGCTGGGCACACCAACCAGACCTTGATCCAGTTAACCTTATCATGCAAATAGGGTATATATGTTGGGACCAGAGGTCTGTTTCTAAAGGGCTTTAGAGAGGATTCCAGAAATATAGATTTTGGCCCTGGTGATTGTGGAGCCAACATGCATGGAGACAGTAAATATCTTTGATGATCCTTCCTTGGTGGCCACAAGCTCTGCCAGACTGTCAGGTTGGAGACAACAGCCTGGCTATTGATGAAAACAGAATGCTGGGTTAAAAACTGATTTTTTTTTAATCTGACCCAACCATACCTCACTTATGTTATCTTACATTTCCATCAATGTCTTTTAGGACTAAATGGGGTTTCTGTTTTAGAAGTCTACTTCTAAATGCTTAATTTAGATAATCATTCTCTCTTAGCCCAACCTACCTGACAAGATGGCTGTTGTGAGGAGAAGGGAGCATAACATATGCTACTGTGAGTTCTTGAATGAAAGGCAGGATATAAATACAATTTTTAAAAAATCAGTCAAGTAAAGGAGGTACTATCTTGATGCTCTGTTTGGAGGCTTTCCAGAGATTTCTTGTTGTAGGAAGCAAAAAAAAAAAAAAAGGTTATATCAATTTTGGTCTGAGTATCAGTGTTCCCATTGCTGTGTTTAGAATGGAATGAGAGTGGTTAAGTCCTTTCACCAACAATGTTACTTTTTATAGCTTAAATATGACAGAAAAGACATGGAAAGGGGGAAAATGGTAGAGATAGCAATATAGAGATATTTCACCTGGAACATGTTGGGTCCTAAGATCTAAATCAGTGTTTCTCAACCTTGGCAACTTTTAGATGGATGGACCAACACCCAGAATTTCCCAGACAGCATGCTGGCTGGGGAATTCTGAGACTTGAAGTCCACCCATCTTAAAGTTGCCAAGGTTGAGAAACCACTGATCTAAATGAAAGTGCAACCTCCCATGTTCAAGAGTAGGGTACCTCTAAATATCAGATGCTGGGATCTAGAAAAGATCTGTCATCTCTATTCCGTATTGGTTGACTTCCAAGAAAAACGTGAGTAGCCCCCACCTGGAAATAAAATACTGAGACAGATTTTTTTTTAGGTCTGAAGAAGGAAGATTATTCCAGTGGTATCTAATGCTATGGCATTTAAACAATCATCTCCTTTTCATGCTATTCTTATTGGAAATGCTTCCAGACTGGGGGCAGGGGAGGGGGGGCCAATAAAGCATGCTGTTTTCCCACTGAATCTATGCATTCCAGAAATGCTAGAAATGATCCTTCCCAAACCTCTGAAACAGCAGGGTAGGGAATAAAAAAGTTTTGTTTAGAACTGTTGTTCAAACTTGGCAACTTTTAAGATGTGTGGACTTCGACTCCCAGAATGCTGGCTAGGGAATTCTGGGAGTTGAAGTCCATACCTCTTAAAATTGCCAAGTTTGAAAAACACTGGTTTAGAATATATAGCATGTAACTGTGTCTGCCCCTTCTTGAAAGGTACATTATTGAAGTGGGAAAAGTCACAATAGGACATATAGCTCATTCCAACCCTAAAAGGAATAATTCTTGGCTCTTCCAGAGGTGATTCGTTCCTTATTTTTTTCAGCATGTTTTCTTTCCTATGTTTTCAATCAGATGGGATTCTTGTATCAAATATGGTGAGGAATTTTGTTTCTGGCATGGGCTGGAGGCAGCCAGCAGTGAGGTAAGCTTGGTTTCCTTCAAAATTAAACCACGTGCCGTTGGTTGTTGATGAGGACATATGGGAATCCAAAGTGAGCAATGATGGCGGCCGAGTTCTTGCCAATCAAAGGAACGATTTTACAGGAAGCTGCTTGGATCCATTGTCTGGAAGGTATTTCATTCCAGTCACATCATGTTTTATAGTTATGCCTTGCTTGTAAATTGCTGAAGTGTGGGGTGGTCAGACATTTCCAAAAAGAACATTCTGTGGCTTGAAAGGGTTCACCAACTGATCATATTGGAAGTGACTCACTGCAAGGGCCTTTGAAACAAGACCTCATAAAAACATTGAGATGAAAATCAGGCCTGAATATTTTGAAAATCCACTTAACATTCTTTTTTTTAATTAACAATTTTACTGAAGTTTTTAATAAACATAGTAAAAACTAATACAAACTATACTAAAGAAAAGAAAAAGAAAAAAGGAGGAGGAGAAAAGAAAAAGGCAACACGGTTTTTATTCTATTTTTATTGTATTTTAGATTGTTTTTATGGTATTTTAACATTTATTGCTGTTTTATCGTGAACCGCCCAGTCACTTTTTGTG